TGGCCAGAGCAATTAGGCAAGAAAAAGGAATAAAAGGAATCCAAATAGGCAACGAAGAAGAGAAACTCTTGCTGTTTGTAGATGACGTGATTTTATATACAGAAAACACTAAAGAACCCATTGGAAACCTATTAGAAATAATCAACAATTACAGCAAAGTTGCAGGGTACAAAATCAACTTACAAAAATCAGTTGCATTTCTATACTCTAATAAGGAACTAACAGAACGAGAACTCAAGAAGACAATCCCCTTTACAATCACAACAAAACGAATAAAATATCTAGGAATAAATTTAACCAAGGAGGTGGAAGACCTATACAATGAAAACTATAAGACATTATTGAAAGAAATCGATGATGACATAAAAAAATGGAAAGATATCTCATGCACACGGATTGGAAGAATAAACATAGTTAAAATGTCCATACTACTTAAAGCAATCTATGGTTTCAATGCAATCCCAATCCCAATGACATTCTTCACGGAAATAGAACAAAGAATACTAAAATTCTTATGGGGCAACAAAAGACCCCAAATAGCTAAAGCAATCCTGAGAAAAAAGAACAAAGCTGGAGGCATCACGACCCCTGACTTCAAAATATACTACACAGCAATAGTAATTAAAACAGCATGGTACCAATACAAAAACAGACACACAGATCAATGGAACAGAATTGAAAGCCCATAAATAAAACCACACATCTACGGAAAGCTAATCTTTGATAAAGGAGCTAAGAACATATAATGGAGAAAGAAAAGTCTCTTCAATAAATGGTGCTGGGAAAACTGGACAGCCACATGCAAAAGAATGAAAGTAGACTATTTTCTTTCGCCATACACAAAAATTAACTCAAAATGGATCAAAGACTTGAAGGTAGGAGCTGAAATATAAAACTCCTGGAAGAAAACATAGGCAGTTTGACATCAGTCATAGAGGGATCTTTTCGAATTCCATGTCTACTCAGACAAGGGAAACAAAAGAAAAAATAAACAAGTGGGACTTCATCAGACTAAAGAGCTTCTGCAAGGCAAATGAAACCAGGATCCAAATGAAAAGACAACCCTCCAGCTGCGAGAAAATATTTGCAAACCACATATCCAATAAGTGGTTAATCTGCATAATATATAAAGAACTCATACAACTGAACAACAAAAAAACAGACAACCCGATCAAAAAATGGGCAAAGGATATGAACAGACATTTTTCCAAGGAAGATATAGAGATGGCCAATAGGCACATGAAAAGATGTTCAACATCACTAAGCATCATGGAAATGCAAATCAAAACTACACTAAGATATCACCTTACATCTGCTAGAATGGCTATAATCACCAAGACAAAAAATAGCAAATGTTGGAGAGGTTGTGGAGAAAAGGGAACCCTAATCCACTGCTGCTGGGAATGCAAACTGGTGCAGCTTCTATGGAAAACAGTATGGAGAGTCCTCAAAAAATTAAAAATAGAAATACCTTATGATCCAGCTATCCCACTACTGGGAATCTATCCAACGAACCTGAAATCAACAATCCAAAGAGGCTTATGCACCCCTATGTTCATCGCAGCATTATTCACTATAGCCAAGGCAAGGAAGCAAGCCAGGTGTCCCTCGACTGACGACTGGATAAAGAAGATGTGGTACATATATATAATAGAATACTACTCAGCGATAAAAAAAAGACAAAATTGTCCCATTTGCAACAACATGGATGGACCTGGAGAGTGTTATGTTACACAAAATAAGCCAGAGAAAGACAAACACTGTATGATTTCACTCATATGTGGAAGATAAACTAATACACGGACAGAGAGAACAGTTTGGTGGTTACCAGGAGGAAGGGGGTCGGGGGCGTGGGCACAAGGGGCGAAGGGATGCATTTATATGGTGACTGACAAGCAATAATGTACAATTAAAATTTCACAACGTTATAAACTATTATGACATAAATAAAAAAAAAAGAACTCATGGAGAACCTATAGATAAAAAGACTAGAGAGACTTTTCAAGCAGTGGCAAAGGAAGGACCTTATGAATCCTGACTCAAAATAGCAGGGAAATTTGAAACCTGATTGGATATTTGATATTAAGAACTTCTTTTAAAACATTTTAGGTGCGATATAGTACTGTAGTTATGTTTTAAAAAATTAAGAGTCCATATCTTACAAAATGATACAATGTCTGGGAGTTTGCTTTAAAATAAGATGAAGGGGAGTAGAGGAGAAGATATACATGAAACAACATCGGCCATAGTTGATTGCGGAAGTTGAGATGGATACATGAAAGATTATTTTGCCATTTTTCTCGTTTTGTATAGATTTGAAATTTTCCACATTACAGCTTTTAAAAAGACAAAAAAAAAAAAAGCACGCAGCAGTCACATGAAAGTGTCACCCATCCTTGGTCCACCATAGCCATGGCAATTGAGCCCAACAGGTCACAGAACCCCAGGGTAAGAAGCTATGCAACTGGGGAGAAGCCCACTCCAGCTTCTCTTAGATCTCCTGGGGGGGACAGGCCAAGCAGAATGGATCAGAGGCCAAGATAATGACGAAGCCAGGCTCACCACAGGCAGTTAACTAACTGATGAGGTAAAGCACAGCGAAAGTGCAGCCATCTCTTCAGCCTCCTTGGCCCAGGTGGCTGGAGTGGGGAAGAGGGACAGGCCTTCACCATCTGGTGGCAGCTCACTAGGGAGTGGGCCAAGCAGAGGTCTGTGTGCTGTTACTTTGGTGGCCCCTACAGAACCGGGCCTCCAGGTATTCCTTGTGTGACATCTCCCCACCAATCTGGACTGGGCTTTACCTAATTAATCAACAGGATGCAGCAGAAGTGATAGAGTGCTAGTTCCAAGTCTACGCCTGAAGGCCTGCCAGCTTCTGCTTCTGTGCTCCGAGGAGCCCTGAGCTGCCACGTAAGTCAGACTAAACTGCTGGGGAAGGATGGGTCCCCAAAGGACCTGGAGAGAGAGAAGCCCAGCTGAGCCCCTGGCCTACTGAATGTAGTCACGCGAGTGACCAAAAGCAAGAGCAGTGACCGAGCAGCTGGGCCAGCCCAGCATGGAGAACTGTCAGCAAATACAACGACTGCTGTGGTTTGAAGCTACAAAATCCTGGAGCAGTAATGCAGCCCTGGATGACCTACACAGGCACCATCACCTCTCTTCACGGCACTATGGTTATCCTCACAATTCTCTCACAGGTGAGGGAACAGGTGGGAGCCAACAGCATCACTATGAGATGCCGAGCTGAAACCCACACTTGCCGGTTCTGAGCCCAGATTTCTCTCCTCCAGCTGTCTTCCCACAGCACCAGGAAGGACAAGGAACATCTCTACTCAAAACTCCAGCGCATGTGCAGCAATGCTGTTTCACAGTTCTAGTAGCCATTCCTCATGGAGGCATCATGTTAGAAAAGGCCCCCAAAAGGGGGCATCTGAGCCCCAAAGGGATTCCAAGTAGCTCTTGCACAACATGCTCTAAGAAACAACCCTCTTCATGTGAAAGAGAGCCCATGGGAGTCTAAGAATGGTGAACAGAACGGACCAGGAGAGGGGGATTTAGCAAATGAGACATTCTCTTTGACCTAAATGAGGGGTTTTTGGACACAATAAAGGCTACTACTTTACTGAGCGGGTACTAGAGAGGGTAGTACAGAACATTTAAAAAAAAAAAAAAAAAAAACCACCAAAAAACAAAAAACTTGAATACTGTTAAGACATTATGGATTTGAAAAGAAATATAACAACTCTATGCTCACGTGACACTATACTAAGCTACACATCTGGTACATCAACCTTCTGAAAAACCAAAAGACCAGATGGGAAGCTGGAGTAGAAAGTGCTGGATGTCACGCGTCATACCTTCACCTTAAAGGAAAGCCTACAGCCCTGGACGACCAGTGTCCCAGGGAGCCATCCCTCACAGCTTCTTCCTGGAAATACCAGCAAGCACGTGTCATTCTGCAGGGTGGTCTTGTCAATTTCTCTTAACTGCAAACATACACACACATATACAAATATATCTTTACACACACACAGACATATTTGTAAAAGGAGTTGGCAATATCCTAAGAGTAATTTCTGCTGTGAACGGATCAGTTGCTAAACTGTATACACATTTTATTGTTTAAAGAAAAATTTGCACAAAAAGGATGAAAAATTTGAGCAAGGAGAAACACAGGCCTGTCAGTTTAAGGATGAAAAGGAAGATGCAGGTAAAAGAGCACTGGACAGGAGCCTACAGACCTGAATTTAGGTCATGGCTCTGCGACTTCCGTCCTCCCATCTCTCACTCAACAGACTAAGGGGCACCTATTACAAGCCAAGCATTCTGCTGGGGTCTGGGGACCCAAGACGAATAAGCAAGTGGTCCCCAGACAACGGAGTCTAGAGGAAACCCCAACTTATCTGCTGTTTACTTTTGGCAACCCCTTCCCGCTTTCTGTAAGACAGGAATAATAACTCCTACCTTAGAAGGCTGTTGTTAGCGTTAAATGAAATACCATACATGAAATCACATCGTGGGCATTATGCAAATTCTAGTTATTTCACATCTTCATGCCTTGTCCGTGTCCACCCCCCGCCACAGGCCTCACACAGTCATTTCACAAATATTTGGAGACAAAAAATCTAGACATGGGTCCCTGCTGGTGACTTGCTTCCGACCTGAGGGAGAAGCCAAGTTGGCTAACAATTACGAAACAGTGTGCTACGTGTCCAAGTCCAGTTGGGAACAGTGTGGTGCGAGTAGAGAGAACCACCCGAGAATGCAGGCCAGGTTAGTGGGAGGGGAACTGGGGGTAGCGACGGCTTCCCAGAGCTGCTGACACTAGAGCTGGCTCTTCCCGGCCAGCAGAAACTTCCCAGGCCCGTCCCCGTGGGACATCACCGGGACGGCTCAGCAGCGGGAGGAGCTCCCTGGCCGTGGCTACTCCATGCCCCGCCCCGCCCCGCCCCGCCCGCGCCGGGCAGCCCCGCTGACCTTGAGCGAGGCCAGGTGGGCGATGTCGGGGCTGAGCTCTCGGAGGCAGTTGTCGGCGGCCGCCAGTTCGCTGAGCAGGGGCAGCGCGCCGGGGCGGAAGAGCGCGGCGGGGAAGGAGTCCAGGCGGTTGCCGGTGAGGTTGAGGGTCTGCAGGCGCGGGGCGCAGCGCGCCAGGTCGGCGGGCAGCTCGCGCAGCCGGTTGCCGCTGAGGTTGAGGCTCTGCAGCTGCGGGAGGCCCGGCGGGTCGGCGGGGCCCAGGCCCTGGCCCGGCGGCAGCGCCTCCAGCGCGTTGCCCGACAGGTCGAGCACGCGCAGCGCGGGCAGCGGGCCGAGCTCGGGGCTCAGGCCGGGCCCCAGCGCGTTGCGGCGCAGCACCAGGCTGTGCAGCTGCGGGAGGCCCTGCGCCAGGCCCGGCCCCGGCTCGCGCAGGCTCCCGCAGCCGCTCACCTCCAGGTAGTGCAGCAGCGGCAGGGTGAAGAGCCGCGGCGGCAGCCGCCCGCCCGCCGCCCGCACCCGCTCCTCCAGCCCGGGCCCCGTCAGCATCAGCTCCCGCCGCCGCTCCCGCTCCGCCAGCTCCAGCTCGGGCCAGGCCTCGGAGACAGCCGCTGCCGCCGCCATCGTGCCGCCGCTTCCGCAGCCTGTCCCGGGGTGCTTCCGGGGCACGGCTGCGTCACTTCCGGCTCAGGCCGGAAGAAGCCATAGAGAACACGCCCGGACGCTAGAGCGCCTCAGTGAGTGCCATAGAGGAGAGGGTCCTCTCCCAAATGGAGCCGGGGGGTGGGGCTGGGAGGTCCGGTCTTTCCCGAGTCCTCGTCAGCCTGCGGGTCGGGCTGGGGGCACGGCGGCCCGGAGCTCCGGAGTCCGCGGGGCCACTCCCTCCTGACCTGTCCTTGACCCCGACCTGGCCGGCCGCGCCTATTCTCGCAGAGTCCTCGCGGGAGCCTGTAGGGAAGGAACCGTGGTCCCGCCGCCCTCCGAGCTCTGGGCTGAGACCCTGCGATGACAGGCGGATGAGGAGTCCTGCTGTATCCGCGGAGATGCCCGGGGAATTTGGGCTTCAGTACCACCTAGTTGGGAAAGGGGAGGGACGGAGGCCTTTCAGGGGAGAGTAAATGGTTTCCAGGAGAGATGACGGGCCCTAAGGAGAGCAGATGGGGGGATGACAGTTTGTGACAGTGGGTCTGGGTGTGGCCTCGCTTCTAGTCTCCTCTCCCTGACGAGAGTCCATCTTCCCGGCTGGTGGAACTTGTGACAACCGAGTTCCTTTGGCGGGTGTGTGTTTAGGCAGAGAAGGGAGTTCGGAGACAGCTTCACCCACATCTGCTGTTTCGCAAGAGCCTGCGGCTCAAAATAATCAATATACCGAAGCGGCGTATTTTGGGGTGGCGTATTCTGCTACCCTTCAATACCCAATCAAGTTCCCCTTAGTAATGTTCTGTCCACTGTCCTCGTCTCCTGCCCCGGGCGTAAACGCCCAGCTGCCCTGTCGTGTTCAGAGTTGAGTTCGCTCTCTCTCCGTCACAATGGTCCTGGGTTACGTCTTCCTTGCTGTTTTTAACGAGCATCCAGTGCAATGCGTTTCCTTACAGATCAGTGGTTCTTGTTTTGGAATCACTGGGAGATTACAAATGACTGATGCCGGGTCCCTCATCGAGAGATTCTGGCCTGATAATCTGAGCTGCAGCATGAGCGTGGGGGTTTTCACAAGTTCCCCGGGTGTTTCTATTGAGCAGGCAAGGTTGAGAAGCCACTTGGGATCAGTTAGTTTTCCTGTGTTGGGATCCGCTAGCTGGGGCTTTTGGAGGAGCCGTGCAAGTCAGGGCGCTGCCCCTGTTTTCATTAACTCCTCACCCCAGCAGGGTTTTCAGTTGTTTTATTTTGTTTTGAAATTTCTGAACTTTGTATTGAAGTGTGATAGACATCCAGAAAAGTGTGCACACATCACGAGTGAATTTTGCCCAAACTGAACACATCTGTGTAGCCATCCTGTAAAACTAGAAACAGGTGATTACCAGTCCCCCCAAAGCCCCCTCATGCCCCAAAGTGGAATCACTTTCTTGATGTCCTACACCACAGGTGAGGTTTCCCATTTGCATGGCTTGAAAACATGTCAAACTCAAGATTATATTATTTAGGGGTACATTCGCATGTGGTAAATCTATGAAGACAACCAATTGATACATTATTCCTGAAAAGCAAAGCTGAATTTACTCTCTTGCAAAGCGAGGGAGATCTACAGTCTCCCTGAAGAGTGTCTGAGCAGGCCTTGTGTAGATTATGCAAGTGAATAGTGGGTGATTCATTTTTCTGGAGCCCAACTAACGTCTCTGAGCCGACTTGGTGACACCATATGGGTCAGCTTTTGTGATGGTGACGTCGGCCAAAAAGCACCTGCAAATTCCCAGAGGCTCTCCAACAATGCAGGTCAGCAGTCGTTCACCTGGAGTGGCTGTTGCCGTCAGCTGCGGTGCTGGCCCGGGCTACAGGTAGACCCTGATCTGCACCGCGTATCCTCATGGTGCGGGCCCTGGCTGAAGGAACGCCCCTAGGTGGTAGAAGCTGGGCTCTCATGGCAGAGGGAAGGGACGAGATGGACAGAGCGAAACCCCGCAAGCACAGGGGAAGCTTCTGCGTGCCTGTAGCATGGATCTGTCACGTCGGCTCACATACAGCGGTCGAGGGAGACACACAACCGAGCACGCACTCAGGGTGGGGGTATGTGCTGCCTCCAGGACCACATGGCAACAACAAGGTGGAAGCAATTAAGTGTGAGCCTATAATAGAAGCTTCCACAGGTATTGAGGGAAAATTCTGTAGAACTGCAGTCAGGGCTGGAAGGAAACTCTGACTTGAATCCTCTTGAGCTGCTTCCCCAACCAGGAGCATCTCTCCTTCATCCCGGACTCGGCTCTTCCCCCCTAGCTGAGCCCTGCCAATGACAGACCCACACCACTTCCTGAAGCAGCTCTGTTGGAAAGCTCATCCCCTGTGATAAGCCCAAATCTGTCTCCCTCTCACTCACCCCTGCTGCTTCTGCTTCTGCCCTCAGCATACCTCATCCCCCTGCCTCATGGCAGCCTGGCACAGACACTGCTGGCTGCCTGACCGCAGCCAGGGCATCCTTCTCACTCCCGGAAGGTTTTGTTTAGGTGGTATTTGCCCTGCCCCAAGGGAGGAATCAGAGTTGGTCCTGGAAATCCTCTTTGCCAACATTTATTCTAAGGAAAAACTATGACATCGACCTGGTCAATAAGATAAAAGGGGATGTGTGCTAGGGCTCCTGGGAAATTTTTCCTCCCTGAGAAAAGAGAGGCATATGAGGAGAAAGCCCTTTATCTCTTATCCACCTTTGTTTTGGTTCAGCACACTAGAGTGTAGAGTGTGATGCTTGGTGCTGCAGGTCCTTGTGACCTTGAGGAAAGCATCCCCAAATCAGTAAGAGAAAGGAGCAGAAATATGGAAGGAGCCTGGATCATTTCCAGTGGTTTTACTGTTGTTTAGGTATTTTTAAATTTCTGAAAATTTAAGTTATACACTGAATTAGCATTGCTAATCTAACAGGGTGACATACACTTGTTCAGAAAGTGTTCTTGTATACCTGCCTATCTTCAAGAGAAGAAAGAAAATGCTAATCAACAAAGCACAGCTTCTGTTGCAAGAATAATCCTTATTCTGGTCAAAGACTTGGGGCAAGTGGAAAACCAACAGGATGGTTTTGAAAGTGATGCAGTGGCTCGGCCATGGAATCTCCAAGGGCTCTTGATAACACGAAGCCTAGGACACACTGGAAATATTTCCTTTGAAACAAAAAACACATCTTATTATCGTTAAAAATGATAACAGTCCATGCACAAATCCCAAAATGTTCACGATGTCTTCTCTGAATTATCATCCCCCCCCCACTCACTAGTGTAGAATGAAAAAGAGCATTTTGGTCGGTTAGTACAATTTTCACAAAAATACACTGTGACTCAGAGATGACCCATTGATATACTTTGTCTTTTAAGATTGTACTTTAAAAAAGATAAAATATTGTATCATTTTAAAATGTATTATTAATTGTATTTTTCCACTTGTATATTTAGTTTACTTTTTAATATTTTATTTTTATAAATTTTATCTGCTTATATTTGCTAATTGATTAATTATATTTAATCTTTACCTTTATGAATTTATGGTTTATTTAATGTTTTATAACATATTTTAAATGCATTGGATATTAAGTTGCCTTGATATTTTTATCGTATAAATTGTGAACTATGTTTAGTAAAAATACTGTTCTTATGTAAAATAAATACTGAAATGCCAGTATTGTTATTTTCTATGGTATTGCCATCATTAGTCTCTGTTAAACTTTTTCTGAATATCTTCTAGGTTGTGGAGACCTTTTTGAAATGTGACATAGACATTAGGCATATCATGTTCTAGTATGTATGGTGGGCAGAATAATGGCCCCTAGAGATGTCCGTGTCCTAATCCCCACAACCTGTGACTATTTTAGGTTTTATGGCAAAGGGGAATTAAAGTTGCCGATAGAATTAAGATTGATAGTCAGTGGCCTTGAGACAGGAGATTATCCTGTGGGCCCAGTGCAATCACAAGGATCCTTAAAAGCAGGAGAGGGAAGGAGGAGACAGAACCAGAGGGAGGGCAGTGTGGAAAGCAGGCCCTATGTTGCTGGCTTTGAACATGGAGTACTAGCTGGTGGCCCGCTGTCAGCTGTCCCACAGGTACCAGGTTTTCGTGTTTTGATTCCCATTCTGGTTCAGCAGGTTAAACTAGTGACTTAGTGCGGTGGATCGGAAGTGTGCTGCTTATGGGCGTAGCTTCTCAAAGTGTCAGCAATGAGTCGGTTCCACCCTCTTACGTGTCTCAGTTTCTCTGCTGATTGTCTAAGACAATCACAGGGGCTCGGAGCACTGGTGATAAACCTTATAGTGCGTCCCCAGACCAGCCAAATTACTTAATTATGTGGTTTGGAGTTCCCTGTGGGACTGCTGTGCATCTCAAGAATTGATCTCAGACACCTCCTCTTGGCCCCTGGTCACCCGGAGACGCTGGCAATGCCACCTGGAGGGAGCAGGTGTCCCTTTTCTTCAGAGTTAGTTGAAACTAACCCTCAAGTGAGGAAAATTCTTCCGAGTCAGCCAAAGCTGGCTCTCATTCATGAATGGTTTCGGTTCTGGCAAGCTGAACCAGTTTAAGAGACTTGGGAAAACTCCGAGGCCAGCTACCGACTATTGTCTCTTATTTTCCTTGGCTCAAATGGCCAGAAAACCTGAGCACCAAGTTTGGAATTCCCTTCTTTGCAAACACAGAGGATAATTTGCCCCACCTGGACAATTATAAACAATTACTGAATAAACTGGAGGGCCTTCAACCGATAATCGGGAGATCCGAGACCCAGGAAAGACTTACCTTGCTGCGGCCGGAGCTCTGGGAAGCTGGTTGAGAGCAAAGGGCCCTGCTGGTACCACAGTGCTGGGTCCTCTTGATGCTCCAGGAGGTCCTGGGCAGTCTCTCTGGGTCCCTCCCTGGTCACTAATGTGTTGAGTGAAATAAAGAGTCCAGATAAATATTAATGAAGGAGTTTATTCAATAATCAAAGTGAGGAACTCGAGCCCCAGGAAACAGTCCAACAGAGTGCTCTGGGGGAACTGCTCCGAGGTATGTGGGTTTAAGTGCAGTTTATATCTCCTTACAAACAGTGCATGTGCAGAAAAAAACTTACAACTAAATTTCATATATGTCAAAAGGGCTAGACAGG